CTCAGTATATTCTTTCCATCTTCTTTTAATACTTTTAAATGATCCTGTTGCAATTAACTCGGGTGAAAAATCCTATTGGATAGAACAACGGAGAAGAGAATATATGCTTATAGTATTCCTTTGTTAAAGACTCAAGAAAGTCTCACTGCTGGTAGGAACCAGTAACCCAACTCCCAGCAACTGTCCATAGGGTTCCCGAAGCTATAGATCTTCATGGGAGGACACTGCCCATCATTCTCCCTCAGAGATTCTGGTGGATTTGAACCACTGACCTTCTAGTAAACAGGCCAATACTTAATGGAAAAAGTCACCAGAGACCCTTACATATGGGAAAAAATATATGTTTTTTAAAAAAATTAGTATTGCTTTTATTATTTGTTGGAACTTAATTAATAAATAATGTATGTATATGAACTATATTAGTAATGCAAATCTATTTTGGTTGAAATACAAAGAAGAACATATTCCAATTTACATATACCATTACAATACTAGTGGCATTGATTATATTCTTTGCCGTATATAACCATTCTCATTTTCCCTCTCTAAATTCTTCTACCATTCACATAAACTTACTGTCTCCTAAGCCGCCTATTTAATCCTTTGAGTGGTGGTGTCAGTTTAATATATTGTTGTCAAGTGCTGTTGAGTACAAATGATTGTGACCTATGAACAACAGATCTGAACTCTGTGCTATCCTGTGTCATTCTTATCATCTTTGAAATACTAGAGCCTTTTGCTACAGACACTGTATCAACTCATCTCATTGAAGGTCTTCCTCTCTTTCCCTGAAGTCTCGCATTTCTAACTATGATGTCCCTTTTCAAAGAATGTTTGCTGTTGTGTACCATCGAGTCAGAATCAACCCATAGCTGACCCTCCAGTCGATTTTCAGAGGTAGTTAATCGCACAGAAAGAGATTTCCCATCTTTCTAGCCTCCTCAGTATGCCCAAAGTATGTGACATGAAACTTTCCCATCACTGTAGACATTCTTCACTGGTTAAGCTAATTTATTCAAGGGGACAACACAATTTTGCCCCTAAAATATAAACACTTGAAAATGTGATTCTTTAAAATAAAATATTCATAAAATTTTTCTCTAGGAAAAAAACTCAACAATGTTTAAAGAAATTTTTGATACAAAGAACAAAATAACTATTCTACAAGCCAAAATGAACAAATTAAACAAGGATTTAATGTTAAAAGAAGAGGAAAAGAAACAGTGTGATGAAAGACTTGCAATTTTAAAGTAAGCGCTCAAATTGTATCAAATTACCAATTATTTTTAATTTATTATTGACAAAAGATAAAAGATTGAGTTTCCTTTTTAAAGAGTGATTTTAAGCATGTTTGTGGTTTTGGCTATCATATTCCATAAAAGATATAGGAGGGTTTTTATTTATGAAAGCATAAATGATTTTATTCTTCATTGATCCTTGGGCTTGATATCATTTGCATAACCAGAAATGTGTCTACGGCCATACCACTCTGAACGTGCCCAATCTCATCTGAATAACTGGGAATATTTTTCCTCTTCCAAGTATATGGACATTTAGTCTTTCTTATATCGATGATTTTTTAAAATTAATTTCTGATTTGTGTGCCCTATATAATAATTTTGAAAGCAGGAACGACATTCACTTCCTAAACAACATGCCTCTGGAAACTATGTACTTTCATAAATGTTGATAGTTGTAGAGGGGCTTCAGGCCTTTTGTTCATAGGGTCACTATGAATCATGCTCAACTTGAAGACAATCAACAACAACAATAACACATAATAATCAGTGGCTATAGCGTAATCATTTTTTAATAACAGTTTTGAAATAAGCTTCAGAAATTGATTCAGAAAGTGAGCTAACTTGTGCAATATATGTATATTTCTATCTTCAAAAGTCACTTAGTTAGGACTCATGTCAGCTTGGAATGTATCTGGGAAAAGGTAGTAAGTTCCCTAGAAGAATGTCCCTGTTCTAGGGCTCTGTAGGGCAATCCAGTAGAGCCGTGCTTAGAATTTCCTTACTCTTCTTTTACCCTTCTTCATTTGGATGTCCTATTTCATAACATATTGAGAAAAGGACTAGAAGTATTAGTAGAGGAGTATAGGTTGTTTCTATTTTGATAAGATGTTGTTACTGTTGTTGTTAGGTGCCATTGAGTTGAATGCAACTCATGGCAACCCAATGAATGTGCCAATCCATCTTTTTTGTGGGTCTTCCTCCCCTTTGCGACATTTCCAGTCTTCTGTACTGGACGGTACTGCAAGGCTGTAATCTGCCACCCAGTGTCTTAGGTACTAGAAGAGTCACCCATGGTAGAGAGGTTGTGACAGAGCTCCTAGATTAAGACAGACTGGGAAGAAGGTTTGGCCTTCCATTTCTTCAACAATGGGCCTTTGAAAACCTTCTGAACAAAATTCAGGTATGATAGTATGATTTAAATATGGAAGGTTAACATAAACATTAGTAAAAATCTAGCTCATGAAAAATAATGTAAAAAAATCCCAACCCAACAGAAAAAGAACCCTCCCCCCCAAAAGCAAAATAAGGTATTCTTAGTTTGATATCATATAGGTTGTTGTTGTTATATCCTAGCAGATTTGAACCCTGCCCTGTCCTGTGCCGGTCTCACTATTTCAGATATATTGTTGTTGTTGTTATGTGCCGTCGAGTCGTTTGCGACTCATAGCGACCTTATGTACAACAGCCCTAAACCCTGCTCTATCTTGTGCCAACCGCATTGCCTCTGACACACCCATCCTGATTACCCCAGTCACTGAATCAATCTACCTCATAGAGGGTCTTCCCCTCCTGCGCTGTCCCTCTACCCTACGAAGCATGATGTCCCTCTCCAAGGACCTGTGCCTCCTTGCAACATGCCCAAAGTATGTCAGATGAAGCCCCAGAATCCTTGCCTCCAAGGAGTAGCCCGGTTTAACCCTCTCTAGGATAGATCTGTTTGTTTTCTTGGCAGTCCATGGTACATTCAATACTCTTCCCCAGCACCACAGCTCAAAGGCGTCAATTCACCTTCTATCCTCCCTAGTCATTGTCCAACTCTCTGATGCATAACAAGTGATTGCAAAGACCTTGGCCTGTATCAGGCGCACTTTAGTTTCCAGAGAGACACCGTTGCTCTTGAGTACTTTAGAGAGGTCCCTAACAGCAGACTTTCCCATCATAATATGTTGTTTGATTTCCCGGCTGCTGGTGCCAAGAGTGTTGACCGTGGAGCCGAGCAAACTGAAGCTGTGAACAATCTCAATCTCTTCGCCATCCATCCTGATGCTACCGATTGGTACAGTGGTGAGAATCTTTGTCTTCTTGACATTGAGCCTCAGTCCATACTGAAGGCTGCAGTCCTTGACCCTCTGCAGTAAGTGCATGAGGTCCTCCTCAGTTTCAGCGAGCAGGGTTGTGTCATCTGCATAACACAGATTGTTGATAGATCTTCCACCAATCCTAATGCCACGCTTCTTCTCATAGAGCCCAGCCTCTCGGATAATTTCAGACATACCAACCCCCATTACCCCAGTTACTGTATCAATCTACCTCATCTGCAGTCTTCTTCTTCTGTGCCATTCTTCCTCCCTTCAGAGCATGATTTCTTTCTCCATGGACCAGTCCCTCCTGACCACATGCACAAAGTGTGTGAGACAGAGCTTCAAAATCCTAGCCTCGAAGGAGAAACTTGGCTTCACCATCTCCAGACAGACCTATTTGTTTTCTTGGTGGTCAATGGATTTTTTAGACTCTTCTCCAACACCACAACTTGAAGGCATCAATTCTTTTTTTAAATTAATTTTAATGAACGTTTACTGAGATTTTGGATTTCCATATATTAACTATTTTATTTTTTCCCCTGTCCACCCGTACCCCAACTTTGCTCTTTTTCTTTGAAAAGTAAAAGAAAAATTATTTCATTGGTGTAGAATTCCCCCTTCCTGCCCCGAGTACATTCCACTATGCAACCTTCATTCTGGACTCTTATCATAACCATAATACCCAGTCATATATGGCTTTTAAACAATTCTCTCCCTCCTCTGTTTCAATGCAGTATACCTATTTTATCCAATTTTTCTCAGTCTCAACCCAACCGTGATGTCAGTCCCATTCTACAATAGTGGCACCATGCAGCATTGGTCCTTTTGTGACTGTGATATTTCACTCAGTATAATGTCCTCTAAGGTCACCCATTTTGAATAATATTGCATGAGTTCCTTGTTTTTCAATGCAGTGTAGTATTCCACTGTGTGGTGTGAATATACCACAGCTTCTCTATCTATTCATTTGTTGATGGGCAAGTAGGTTGCTTCCAACTCTTTGCTATTGTGAACAAAGCTGCAATAAACATGGGTGTGCAGAAGGCATCAATTCTTCTGTCATCTTTAGTCATTGTCCAGCTCTCTGATGCATAGCAAGTAATTGCAAAGACCATGGCCTAGATTACGTACACCTTGGTCTTTAGACTGACATTACTGCTTTTCAGTACTCTAGAGAGGTCCCTGACAGCAGATTTACCTAATGGAAATTGTTTTTTTAATTTCCTGTCTGCTGGTGCCAAGAGTGTTGATTGCAAAGCCAAGCAAGCTATAACTGTTAACAACCTAAATCTCTTCTCCATCCATCATGGTGCTGCCACTTGGTGTAGTGGTGAGAATCTTTTTCTTCTTGATCTTGAGCTTCAATTCATATTGAAGACTACAGTCCTTGACCTTCTGTAGCTAGTGCTTCAGGTCCTCCTCACTTTAGCAAGCAGGGTTGTACCATCTGCATAATGTAGGTTCTTCTTTACATGAGAGAGGAAATATTACTTTCACATATATATGCATAAGATACCCAATTATACATAATAGAATAAGTATAGTGTGGACTGTAAATTGAAATCCACTGTGGCGGAGACTGCAAACCCATAATGTCCCTCTATAGGATTTCTCAGGGCTTGTATCTTTAAGGAAGGAAATTGTCCATCTTTCTCCCTCAGAGCACCTGGTGGATTACAAATGGCTACTGAAATGAACAGGTCAGAATGTAATGTCCTGCACCACCAGGGCTTCGTATAGTGTACGTGGACATGTGCCATATGTGGTAGCCTTAACCTGCCTGGGAGCAACTCTCTGCAAATGTCTGGTGGATCCTGAAAGCTTTGAGATGGGTCCATGCAGAGGGTTGATGTGATCTGGTGCAGGTTGGTCCCTGCTGATCTGGAGGTGACCAACCTGTGAACACTGCCATCACCCCAAATATCACAGGCTTCCTGGTGGTAGGGAAGATATAATGAGGAGGGGAGGCCCACTGCAGGCACACGTCCTGCCACTCGCAAGTGAGCGAGGAGAATCAGGGGAGACCAGTGACAAAGTTGCCAATGAGGCATTGGCATAACCTGGAATTTCACCTGATTTAATCCACTTCCTCAACAACATGCCTCTGAAAACTCTTTGAACTTTGATAAACGTTGACAGTTGAGAGAAGGGCTTCAGGCCTTTTGTTCATAGGGTTATCATGAGCTGTGCTCAACTTGAAGGCAATCAACAACAATAACAATAAATCTAGTCATCAGAGACTTGAAACTGACTCATGGCTGACCCTCCTGTGGGATTTCAGAGGCAGCAAATCACATGACAGAAGACTGCCCATTTATCTCACGTGGAGTGGCTAGTAGATTTGAACCATCCACCTCTGGATAGAGATTGCTACTTTTCATCCACTGTTGTTGTTGTTAGGTGATGTTGAGTTCTGAACCCTGTCCTAGCCTGTGCCATCCTCATAATCTCTGACACACCTGAACCCACAACTTCAGTCACTGGGTCAACATATCTCATTGAGAGTCTTCCTCTCTTTTGCTGTCCTTCAGTCTTTCAAAAAATGATGACTCTTCCAAAGAATAGCCCTTTCTAAAAACTTGCCCAAAGGAAATGAGGCAGAGTTTTGCCACCCTTGCATCTAAGTAACAGTCTGGCCGCACTTTCTTCAAGACTTATCTGTTTGTTGTTTTTCCAATCCTTTGGATACTCGTATTCTTCTTCAAAACAACTTAATTGGATCAATTCTTCTATCATCTTTATTCATTGTCCAGCTCTCAGATAATAGCAAGTGATTGAAAAGACCATGGTCTGGATCAGGTGCACCTTAGTCTAAACATACATCATTGCTTCTTTGTGTTATGGAGAGGTCCTTGACAGCAGACTTCCCCAAGGCAATATGTCTTGATTTCTTGATTGCTGGTATCAAGAGTGTTGAGTGTGAATCCAAGATAAAATTGTCAACAATTTGACTCTTTACTCCATATATCATGTTGTTATCTATTGGCTCAGGGGTATAGATTTTTGTCTTCTTGATAGTGAGAGGTAATCTGCTTTGAAGGCTGTAAGTCTTTGACCTTCTTCAGTCTTCCCCACTTTGAGCAAGCAAAGTTGTGTCTTCTGCATCGAGTAGGTGGTTGATCAGTATTCCTCTAAGCCTGATACCACATTTCTCTTGCCACAGTAACTCCTCAAATCAAACTCATTGCCAAGATGTACTTGACTGTAAGTGAAAATGTACCCAAGTTGATGCATTATCTCATGGATGGGAGAGCTTCAAGGGCTAGTTTGATCCCATAGTTGAAAAGGGGCTATTTGCTGCTCTTTTTTTCTCTTCACTTGGGTTGCTGTCAGTAGATCTGAAAAGATTAGTCTTTTTTTCGCGTTTAGTGTATGGGAGCCCCTTCTACTTAGAAGAGAATCTCCTCTCCTAACTTATGGCACCATTTTCAATTATTTCCCTGTTTCTGACAGCCAACCATGGGATGACCGGCTTTAATATAATCAGAAAGTTATCTCCGGAATAAGGTGGAATTCTCTTGGAATGAAGACAAGAGCATTTCACTAAGTTTCTTTAGATTTTCTTTCACTTGGATATTTAGATGAAGGTGTATGAGAGTCAGGATGCCTCTAAAGCCACTTATTTGGCAGCAGAGAGTTTGATGGTTTGAACAAACATAAATATACCTTGAAACAGAGTTCTGGAGATATATTTTCAAAAGGTCAGGACCATGAAAACCCTATAGAACAAAATACTTTTCCTTGAAAAAGTGAGAATCAACTAAACATAAACCACTCGTTTAATAGGTCTCTATATGGAACATACACAAATATCATGGTTGGGAGGGTAGAGGGATAGCAGAGGAGAGAAAGACCGTGCATAAGATAGATTGACACCGTAACTGGGCTAATGGGGGTAGGTGTGCTGGAGTCAGTGAAACTGGCCCAGGATAGATCAGGCTTCAGAACTATTGTACATAGAGTCACTGTGAGTCACAGGCAATTCAATGACCTATCACAACAACTACATATGGAAATAGGTCTTCAAAATGGATTAGGTTATTTATCCATGTCCTTTCCTTCCTATGACTTTCCAATAATAGGTTTTAAAAACATATCATAAACATATTTTATAAAGCCAAATATTAAATGCATTTTTTTATTCATAGGGAAGAGTTAAAAAGTGTAAGATACAAAAAAGAACATACACAAGCTGTGTTTGATCAAATTGAGGGTGATAAAAGAAACTCTAAGGAGAGATTATATGAGGAAGAAGACAGATTTAAAATACTGGTATCTATGAGACATAAAACCCTGAATGAACTTAAGGTAAGTAGCATTTATGGACAATTTTAAAATGAAAAATATAGAATCAAATTAGCAGCTAATTTAAGGCACTCATTATTCATGTTTATGTAAGTAGCAAAGAAGTCTAGATTTTTAAAAATAAATTTGTTAGTACAATAAACATATCCATATCACCAAAACAAAGATTAAAAAAAAAAAGGTCTCACCACTGGGCCAATTTGCAGCAAGCGTCATGATAAATAGTGAAGAGATTGAGATCACTAAAAGCTTTAGTTTGTTTGGCTCCACAATCAACACTCTTGGCACCAGCAGCCAGGAAATTAAAAGACGCATTGTGATGGGAAAGTCTGATGTTAGAGACCTCGCCAAAGAACTGAAGAACAATGACATCAGTCTGGAGACTAAGGTGTGCCTGATACAAGCATGGTTTTTGCAATCACTTACTATGTGTCAGAGAGCTGGATAATGACTAGCGATGATAGAAGGAGACTGGGTGTCTTTGAGCTGTGGTGTTGGAGAAGAGTATTGAATATACCATGGACTGCTAAGAAAATGAACAAGTTTGTCCTTGAGAGGGTTAAGCCAGGCTGCTCCTTGGAGGCAAGAATTCTGAAGCTTCATCCGACATACTCTGGACATGTTGCAAGAAGGGACCAGTTCTTGGAGAGAGACGTCATGTTTGGGAAGGTAGAGGGACAGCGCAGGAGAGGAAAACCCTCTATGAGGTGGATTGATTCATTGACTGGGATAATGGGGGTAGTTGTGTCAGAGACTGTGAGATTGGCACAGGACAGAGCAGGGTTTAGGGCTATTGTACATAGGAACGCTATGAGTCACAGATGACTCAACAACACATAACAATAACAACAATAAACATGTACTTAGTTTACTTTCTAAGAAATTAAATGTTTTCATACAGTATATTCTTTCAATACATTCTGTGTGCACTCTCATGTTATTGTTTTTGTGTACGTTCAAATCAGAACTAACTCTCCAGTGAGTTGAATCACACAGGAGTTAAATGACCATCTTTCTTTTGCCAAGCAGGTGTGGATTTGAACTGGGTACCTTTGTATTGACATGCGATTCCTTACCACCAAGCCACCAGAGCTCATTTATTGTTGTACTTTATTTCACTTTAAAATATTTTTATTTAAAGATGCAGGTTATTATTGGATTTTACTATTATTTTTTTTTTTTTTAGTGGGTGATATGAGAATAGCATGAGCTCTGGGGGCTTAGTTATAGGGAGCTGTGGTTCCAACCAAAAAGTATGCAGTTCAAATCCACCAGCTGCTCTGAGGGAAAACAGTTAACAGTGGACCGTCTCCTCCCATGCACTTTACTACCTCTGAAAACCCACTGGACGGTCAGTTATTAATCAGTTCTTACCAGATGGCGCATAGCAACAACTTCAAAAAGGCTTTTGTTTTCAGAATAAACATACTTTGAATTCTTACCAATTGATTTTTTTAATAGAAGGGGAATATTTCATGCAGCATTTCTCTAGAAAATGTTAAATAATGTTTTAATGTTCTCTGCTGATGCACTGCTCCAGTTGCTTTTGGATAATGTTCAGGAGGATTTTGATTTTATGTGATATTAGTGATAATTTCCATACTCTGTGGGATCACCTTGTTTGTAATGGAGATAAATGTGGATCTTGTCCAATCAGTTGGCCAGGTAGTTTTCCTCCAGATTTCTTGGTACAATCTGGTGAGCATGTCCAAGGCTGCATCTATTAGTAGAAAAATGTCAATTGTTATTTCATCAATTTCTGGGGCCTTGTTTTTTCGCCAATTCCTTCAAAGAAGCTTGGACTTCCTCCACCAATTGCTTCTTGAACATATGTTGTTTCTTGATACTATGTTGTGACTCCCTCAGTTGGCTCTAGTGTGTAAGAAATTTTGAGGATGGCACAGACTAGGACAAGGTTCAGATCTATTATTCATAGGATTACTGAGGGTTGTACGCGACTCAATGACATCAACCAAAAAACATGTTGTTTCATGGAATTCGTGTCAGCCAATTCTTTCTGGTACAATAACTTTGTGTACTCCTTCCATTTTCTTTTGATGCTTCCTGGATCATCCAATATTCTGCCCATACCATCTTTAAGTTTTGCAACTCCAGGCTTAAATTTGTCCTTCGGTTTCTTCAGCTTGAGAAATGCAGAACAAGTTCACCCCTTTTGATCTTCTGACTCCAGCTTTTTTGCAACACTTCATTTTAATGCTTTGCTTTGTCTTCCTGAGCTGCCCTTTAAAAACATCTGTTCAACTCCTTAACTTCCTGATTTCTTCCCTTTGCTTTGTCTTCTCAGCTGCCTAGGGCAATATTCAGAGTCTTCTGACATCCCTCTTGGTCTTTTCTTCCTCCTCTGTGTTTGTAAAGACCTTTTGTATTCTTTATGGATATTCGTGATACCATGTTAAAGGACTCAAATCTGTTTCAGAGATGGTTTTTAAATTCAGGTGAGAGAGAATCAAGGTCATATTTTGTTTCTTGTGGCTTTGTTTTAATTTTCTTTAGTTTCAGTTTGAAGTTGAATATGAGTAGTTGATAATCTGTTCCACAGTCAGCACCTGACCTAATTGTCACAGCTGATATTGAGCTTTACTAATGATTCTTTCCACAGATCTAGTCAATATGTTTCCTGTGTAGTCCATTACATGAGGTCCATGTGTATAGTCACCATTTGTGTTTTTATAACATATTTCCAGTGAATAAATAATTGTACAAAATTCTGCCATTTTATTTCCAGCCTCATCTCTATTACCAAGTCCATATTTTCTGACTACTTATCCTTCTTCCTAACTTTTGCATTCCAGTCACCAGTTATCATTAATGAATCTCAGTTGCATTTTTTATCAATATCCAACTGCCAATATTGGTAGAATTCTTCTGTTTATTCCTCTTTGGCTTTGACAATGCATATATTTGAATGATAGTGGTGTTAACAGATCTTTCTTGTATGTGTATGAATATTATCCTGTCACTCACAACATTGTATTTCAAGATGGATCTAGAAATGGCCTTTTTAACTATGAATGAGACCCTGTTTTTCCTCACCTTTTCATTTCTTGTGTAGTAGATGATATAATTATTTGATTCAAATTGCACTGAAAATTTATCAGTTAGAAATCAGGCTATTATAATATGTCCTTTTAACTTTTCAGACATGGCTTGCTATTAATTTTTAGAAAACTTGATATTAAGCTTTTAATACATAATATAAATTAAATACACTTTAGCATAATTATTTCTAATATTTTTACATTTCAGTAGTTTTGTTGCATGTGACTGCGGTGAATAATAAATACTATGAAATTTTAATGTTTTAGCAATATTATTCAATTTTGGGGAGATACAATGAGAAATTTTTCTAAAAAAATTAAAAGTAGTCAGGTCATTTATTAAAACAATTTCTTGTAAACTTTTAAGATATATGTAACATATGATAATTATTATCTTTGCTCTTTATTTTTGAAAGTCAAGCGAGTTTTGAATTAAACAGAGTAGATGGTAACTGCAGTAAACATTAGAAAACATGATTTGGGTTTTTTGTTGCTAAGAAGCTGGCTGGAAGATCTGTGGTGTTTGCTATTTTTAAAAAAATATGTTTTGAATAATTCTTTTCTATACAGAACTACAGGAAATCTATTAAAATTTCTATGATTTTTATATATTCAAAGACAAAGCTAGTCTATAAAAGGAAAGATTAATTTGAAACAGATGTGCTTCGCATAAACGAGTGAATGTGAATTTTTTGACACCCCTCAAATAAGACATTTAATAAATAATATAGACAATTGCAATAATTATGATGAAACATTTTTATTAATGAAGCCAAGTATCACTACTTAATTTAAAATAATAACATTCCATTAAAACATATCTTTATTAATATAAATATATAAATTTCTAAAATTATTTCTTTTCCCTGAAAATAATTGGTGCCATCTAGTGGCAATCAATGACACTTCTTCTGGGAGGAGTTCTTAGGATTTTGCTGAGTTTCAGGCGTGTGAATAAACGGACACTTGTTAAAAAGAGAAGGCTTAAATGGTTTCTCAACTCAGGAATCCTTCCCCACTTTCTATTTTATCACAGCAGTAGAATGAGTTGTTTAAATCCAACCACATTTACCAGTGATGCTCGTGCTGAGAACAAAGTGGAATCTCAATGCTCATTTATTGACTGGAATTTTTGCACACTAATGAAACTATAATAATTAGTGAGATGGACATGTATGGTCAGCAGGATGGAGAGAAAGGGGGAAATTCTGTACAACTCACTTCTAAATAAGTGAGTTATGTATTTCTTTGCGTCCAAAAACCTGTGCTTGCCTCCCAATTTTGAAGTGTATCCTTTCCCAACCATTTGAACCAATCAGATAGTTTATTTTTTCCCCCCTCTTTGCCGGCACTGATCTCTGTCTAAATTGATTTTTAATTGATTTCTATGTACTTGTCATTTGCCTGCTTCTTGCTGTAAAATAGGGAATCCCTTTCTTCTCTGTTCCAGAAAGATCAGAACTATGCCTAACACAGAGTAGATATTTAATGAATATTCACTGAATGAATGAATGAATAAACTAATGAATACTTTTAACAGTAACATTCCTGACCACAGCATGACAAGGCCTGAGAGCAGTAACATTTCAAGGATACTTTACACATTGCACCAGTTGGGTACATTAACAGCTACACAGGCTGTGTGTAGAAGATGAAACTTTAAATTGTTTATTGCTTTCTAGCAATTAAATACTCTCTAAAAACCCAGTGCTGTTGAGTTAAAATTTTCAAAGGCTGTAAATTGCACGAGAAGAGATTGTTCATCTTTCTCCTGAGAAGCAACTGGTAGAAATGAACTGTCCACATTTGGGGTTGATAGTGGCAAAACTTCCTACCCAATAAACAACCAGAGCTCCCTCAGGATTTAGGTCCTGTTTAGTTCCACAAAAGCTCTTCTTCTCTTCCTACATCATCTTGAATTTATGTGAAGGTATTTCTGAGCAT